GTCACCCTATAGCGCCATTTTGGAGAGTATCACATACGTAAACAACGTATGTATGTGGATACGTTGTTTACGTTCAGATCAAAGTGTAAACAACGTATCCGCGTACGGTGCTGCTGACACAGAACAGCATACGTAGGAGACGAATTGTTGAATAAAGTCGTTATTTTTGTTTTCTTTGTGCACAAAAAGTATTCTTGTAGCTTCGTAAAGTTACGGTTGAACCACTGATGTCACATGGATTATTTTAACGATGTCCTTGCTACATTTCTTAGCCTTGATCATGTAAGGATCCTTGCTATCTATGGGAGGGTCAGAGAGCTCTCGGAATTCATCAAAAATATCTTAATTTGTGTTCCGAAGATGAACGAAAGTATTACGAGTTTGGAACGACATGAGGGTGAGTAATTAATGACAGAATTTTCATTTTTGGGTGAACTATCCCTTTAATAGCAAGAATCCAACTCACATCTCCATCTTTGGTCAGTTTTCGGCCACAGCGCATGCTGTTCAGCTCAAACTCATCTTTATTGGCCTCTTGTGGTCTGTAACAATCATATTCACTTATTTGCAATTCACACCACATGTTTAATGTTTAGCAGTGACGATGTTTGGGCCGTTCTCTCACCCGTTATCGTTATCGTGTTCTGTCCTCAGCATAGCAAACCACTGCTGTTTGTACACGGTGCTCAGCCACTCTGATAACGACACAAGAGGAAGTTGAGTTCATATCCGCCCCACTAATCTCAGCCTCAGACAACAATGGACCATCTGAGGACTATCTGATGCATACTGCACACAAAACCAGCTAAATCATTCTCAGAAATCTTTAATCTGACTGGAGTCCGAGTGCACCAGGAAAGTCTCACCTGGGGGTAGGATGTTGTCCCGTTCCAGCATGCGGGCCGAGGCCAGGTCATTGATGATGTACTGCAGGCGGATGTGTCTGAAAACAGGGACGAATGGCATCCCGTCATCTGTGTTCAGAAACGGCTCCTCTTCTCCAGCCTCTGTGTGTGAGTGTGGCAGTTAGAGGAAGGTTATATAAATGCACTTATGTATTTCTATGAGTGCAATGTACCTATACACAGTACACACATGTAAACAAAAACGTTTATTTTGGATGCGATTAATCGTTTGACAGCACTATTTGCATAATATGTTATATTTGGCCAATTATAGTAATTGACAGAGCACAAAAAAGTGTATTTATCATTGTATTTACAATCTTTGAAACACTGTTCATTTTGTTGTTCATAAAGGAACCTTTACATTTTGCTCTGTGGTATTTAAAAATGCCAATAAATGAGGTTATAAAACAAAATAAAAATATTATTACAATTTTGAAATATAAATGTATAATATATATACTAATATATAAATAATATTATTATGGAAAATACATAAATAAATAGCAAAAACACTGTTACAGTCAAAACCAATACAATTTTAATACTCAGAGCAGGTTGCACATATATAAAAATATCGGTTTGTATTGTAAAAATATATACATTAAATTAAACATTTCATTTAAAGATAGCATTTACATTTTAAGATATATATTTAGAATATGAACCATACCCTTTAATCAATTAAATGAAATTAATTTAAATTTTTCATTTTAAAATATGTACACGGTGCTCAGCCACTCTGATAACGACACAAGAGGAAGTTGAGTTCATATCCGCCCCACTAATCTCAGCCTCAGACAACAATGGACCATCTGAGGACTATCTGATGCATACTGCACACAAAACCAGCTAAATCATTCTCAGAAATCTTTAATCTGACTGGAGTCCGAGTGCACCAGGAAAGTCTCACCTGGGGGTAGGATGTTGTCCCGTTCCAGCATGCGGGCCGAGGCCAGGTCATTGATGATGTACTGCAGGCGGATGTGTCTGAAAACAGGGACGAATGGCATCCCGTCATCTGTGTTCAGAAACGGCTCCTCTTCTCCAGCCTCTGTGTGTGAGTGTGGCAGTTAGAGGAAGGTTATATAAATGCACTTATGTATTTCTATGAGTGCAATGTACCACTTCTTCTTTCACACAGCCAGGCGTCTGCATCGAGCAGAAGTTGTTTGATAGGCCCATCCCAGGATGGATTAAGCTGTAAGAACATCCACTGAAAAAAAAAAGTCAAAAGAGAGAGCAGAGATGTAGTTTCAGCGCACCACTAAAAACACCAAATTTAACCCTGTAAAACCAGGACATACTAAATAATAGAACATTGAACTATAAATACATAAAAAATATGTTTTGCATATAGTGCTGTCAAACGATGAATCACATCCAAAATAAAAGATTTTGTTTACATAATATATGTATGTGTAATGTGCATATTTATTATGTATATAAATACGCACACATACAGTATATATTTTGGAAATATTTACATGCATATACATTTATATATTTATATTCTTATATTATATATAAATATATTTAATATATAAAAATAAAATTTTTCTTAAATATATACATGCATGTGTTTGTATTTATAGATACATAATAAATATACACAGCACATACACATATATGTATACTGTATGTGTGTATTTATATATACATAATAAATATACACAGTACACACATGTAAACAAAAACGTTTATTTTGGATGCGATTAATCGTTTGACAGCACTATTTGCATAATATGTTATATTTGGCCAATTATAGTAATTGACAGAGCACAAAAAAGTGTATTTATCATTGTATTTACAATCTTTGAAACACTGTTCATTTTGTTGTTCATAAAGGAACCTTTACATTTTGCTCTGTGGTATTTAAAAATGCCAATAAATGAGGTTATAAAACAAAATAAAAATATTATTACAATTTTGAAATATAAATGTATAATATATATACTAATATATAAATAATATTATTATGGAAAATACATAAATAAATAGCAAAAACACTGTTACAGTCAAAACCAATACAATTTTAATACTCAGAGCAGGTTGCACATATATAAAAATATCGGTTTGTATTGTAAAAATATACATTAAATTAAACATTTCATTTAAAGATAGCATTTACATTTTAAGATATATATTTAGAATAGGAACCATACCCTTTAATCAATTAAATGAAATTAATTAAAATTTTTCATTTTAAAATATGTTTTAAAAAAATCCTTTTAATTTAATTAAAATGATTAAATGATTTGATAATCATTTTTATTGAGGTGGGCGCAATGCATCATAAAATCCATTACAAAGAAATAAATATACCTGAAATGTCGGTTATATAGTATTAATTACATTTTTTTATATTATTTTTCTAAAATGTATGAAATATTAAGTAAGTGTGAGTTGCTTGAATCCACTAAATATAAACTTTAAAATATAACTATATAAAAGTAATTCCTTTATCAAAATAATTAAGAAAAACATAAATGGACTTTTTTAATTTATTAAATAAATGTATTGCATTTTACAATTTTTCTTAATATTATTTGATTAAATAAATGTAATATATTAAATGCATTAATTTAAATTCTTAAAATGCTTCCAAAAGATCACAGATTATCCATTAAGTGGCAATAAACATGAAGCAGATCATATACAAAATCTTTTAGATTGTGCCTGTAATATAAAATGCTATGATGATATATGATCAAGGTCACCTACCTTTTTCATTGCCGTGTAGACGTCCATTTCCACTTGCATTACGAACAGATCAGAAGACTGAATGAGCTGTTCCATCATTTCCGCCCTACACACATAGTAAAACAGACCAAACATAAGCACTAAAACCTTCAGATGAGGTCAGACACAGACTCATAGAGTAAGACTGTACCCGAGCTCCTTCATTAGGTCCACATTCTGATGCGTCATCAGGTTATTGAGGAGCCACTCTAAACACCTGCAATGCACAGAGAGCATGCAACATGTTTATTAAGCTGCAGATGTGTCAGAGAATAACCAGACAGGAAATCAGACAAGACTACTGACTTCTTCATGACGGAGTCCAAGCCGTACATGGTGGCTGAGTTATAATAGCTGCACACGGTCTTCACATTCACATTCTCCTTCATGGTCTCTCCACACTGCTGGATCAGTCCATCCTGGGAAAGACAGAGAGCAGGTTATTAAAGGATGATGCTAGAAAGGTGATTACAGAGGTAATATCATTCATTAAAAAACAACTAGATTTTTATATTTTCAACACAAAAACGCGAGTGTAGCGGGTAAAAATGTAGTGGGTAGCTATCAGGGTGTTGCTATATGGTTGCTAAGGTGTTGCTAGATGATTTGATTGGCTGTGTATTTGTTGTTTTTCATTCCAGAAGTTCAGATTTCTATTTGCCCTTGCATTTGAACTGATCAAAACACAAAAACTTTTCATTTAAAATGTATAAAATGTTTAAATATTTAAATCTGTCATTTCACCTTTCTAAAGTTAATTTAAAAATGTATTATTTAACATTTACAATTATTTACAGCTACAAATTTAACTTTACTATAAGTTATTATTACTATATATTAATTATACACTATTTCACACAAGTTTTTTTTATTATTAAAAAGCTCTCTTTAAAAAAAACGATCACATACAGCGAAAAAAAAAGTAATTTAAAGCAGTTTAACATAAGGCAGCAACATAACAAAACATGGGGTATGAATACTTTCGTAAGGCACTGTACATACACTACTGTTCAAACATTTGGGAACGCTAAGTTATTTTTTGCTCGCCAAGGCTGCATTTATTTGCATGAAAAATACAGAAAAACAGTAATATTGTGAAATATTATTACAATTTAAAATAACTATTTTATATTTGAATAGATTTTAAAATGCTATTTATTTCTGTGATGCAAAGCTGAACTTTTAACTACTCCAGTCTTCAGTGTCACATGATCCTTCAGAAATCATTCTGATAGGATTTGCTGCTTATAAAACATTTATTATTATCAATGTTGAAAACGTCATATCTTGTGGAAACAGTGATTTTGCTTCAGTTCAAGTTCAAAAACAAAACCAGTATTTATTTGTAGCATTATAAATGCCTTTACTGCCACTTTTGTTGAAATAAAAAAAAAAACAATCTCCTGACCCAACTCTTTTGAATAGTTGTACTTTAACTGAAATTAAACAGTTATCATAATCAACAGGTAATAAAGGCAAAATATACAGATTTGTAATGTTTAACCCAACCATACTGATACGACTACGACTATCAAAAGTAATTCTTGAAATTTCTAGCCAGTTTGATCATTTTATGTAGCTAACAAGTTGACAAGAAGAATTCACAAACATTTTCTGGTTTGCAATCCATAAAAATCCATGCACATGATCATAAAAAGGTAAGACATATTGTTGGCTCAAAAGGGGAAAGGAAAAAGGCTATAGTTGCATTACAGAGTAATTGTATGTCTTTAAGGAATCAGATGGTAATGATGTTGTTTTTAACACTGGACATACTCACCAACTGAAGCATACAAGCAGCAGCGAGAATATTAACAACTCGACTTGGTTTGATCAACACGTCATCCCTGTAGAGTGACCCAAAAACCACTTGCAGGGCTGCAGATGGAGAAGAAAACATGGTCAAGATATGAACAGGGTTTCTACAGACATGAACAAGTTAAATTTAAGACTTTTTAAGACCTTTTTAATACCACCTTATATGAAACTTAAGACCTAAACCTGTAATGGAAATACACATTTTATTGCATACATATATGTAATATTTAATGTGTTTAAATTAAAAAGAAAACAAAATATCATTGCTGTAATAAATGATATTTACTACTACGATATACAGTGAACTTTTCACATCAGCAGACAATATTCCATACAAAATATCCCTGCAAAATAACTACATGAGATTTTGGTGGAGTAAACAATTTATTCTGAAGCAATATTTTCATCCGTGTTCTACCAGCTTTTACATACTTAAATCTGCATATTTTTATTTACAAAGGCCTATTTTTAACCTTTTTAGATGTATGCATCATCTTACATGTCAAATTATTACAATTTATCAATAAATTCAATATACACTATAGGGCTGCTACCAGTCAGATTAAATAATTTACACTGCAAATAACAATAATTACAACTGCAATAAATAATGTTATGAAATTAATGTTTAAAATGCATTTATGAGTATACAAATAAGAAATGTTGAGGGGAAAAATGCATACTTTTCAACATACTTCTCAACTAAACTACCAGTAAGTGGCGGTAAGTCACTTAATGAGTGAGTATTGAGGCATTCATTCAACTGATTGAGTGTGTTATCATGCTGGTATCTTAAGGACTTTCGTGGACAGCTGACTCCTAAAGTTTTTCATATTCTTCATATTCTGTGTGATGGTCAGATAGAAATTAATCATTTCCAATAAGTTTAAATTGATTTTTACCTTTTATGGGCATTTTACCTTTATAAAGCCATTTTTCTATAAGTGTGCATTATCTTTTGAGTCAAATTCTTACATTTAATCAGTGAATAAGAATAAGACATTTGGGCTGTTACCAAGCAAATGAAATCAGTATCAACAAAATTCATCTTTGCAATCCAGATATAAGCTGCACCTGAATTTGCATTTAGAAGTATTTACACAGTTTAATGCAGAACATTAATGCATTTAACCTGCAGTTACAAATGCATAAATCATTTGATATATTAAACATAAAAAATTGAATACTGACATTTGAAAGGGGTAATTTTTGAAGAAAAAGGGCACTCTTCCATGTGAAATTGATTAACTATAAGAAGTGGTATAAATATACACATTTTCTGCCCCCATGTCTTGAATTTGTGATCATTCTGAATGTATTTTAATAGACTGAATCATGCAGTGAAAGAGCGCATTGTAAATGCGCACGCGTACTAGACTTCACATAATGCATGCGTGCAGTCTGTCAGTGTTTTGAATGTTTTTTTGCGTCGTGAGAATATTGAGCAAAATAGCTCACTTGTCATGATGTTACTTAAGTATATCATGTTATGAATAAACTAAACATTCAGAATTTTTACCTCAGTGTGTTTCTTCTTTATGTGTGCTGTTACGCTAATTTGTTCTGAAGACTCTCACAAAGAGACAAACAGAATGAGCCTCAGTGAGACCTTGTATTCAGTATTCTGCTAACTTACTGCAATTCTCTCTGATGACGCAGTAACTTCAGACTGAAGATATTTTAGCGGTAATGTGACCAAAAATATTTAAGACCCATCGAATCCGAATTTAAGACATTTTAAAACTTTTTAAGGCCTTATATTATGAAAACGTTATTTAAGACATTTTAAGACTTTTTAAGGACCCGCGGACACCCTGTATGAATGTTTGGTGTCAACAAAACACTTTTAACTTGTTTATTGCATCAAGGAGATGTTAGAAACATATTCTTAGAATTCTCACCCTCTGTGTCAATATTCTGGTCTGGGATCTCAAGCTCAATAACCATCATGTTAGACTCCTTCCAGGATCCACTGAACATGCTGGAGAAATAGCCAGACTGCAAAAGGGGAGGAAAAAAACATTTAAATCAAAGCAAAATGAACGTCTTCAGTACTCTGTTATTAGGAGAACTGAACAGCTGGACCAACCTGACACAGGTAAATTTTATGCAGGTTCCACTCCTGCCCAAGGGCGCGGATCTGGATGTCACTGTTCTCCCCATTCAAAAATAGTGTCTGGTAGATGTACTTAGAGGTGCTTTTCAACTTTTTCCTGTCCACAGATATATGAAAAAAAAAAAAACATTAGACACATTTAATAAATACAACGCTATTAATGTGACAATGCAGGTGTCACCCCTGTCACAATTTAAGGATCATGTGACACTGAAGACTGGAGTAATGATGCTAAAAATTCAGCTTTACCATCACAGGAGTAAATTACATTTGAAAATATATTCCAATTTGAATAATATTTTACAATATTACTGTTTTTACTAGGGGTGCAACAATATATATTGCATCACAATAATTCACCATACTAAAATGCAATAGCATGCATTGCAGATATTGGCAATATCATCAAATATGGTAAACCCAGAAAGTCACATATTTGATCTTCTGTTTATTAATTATTCTTAATGAATTAAAAAATAAAATATATAATTTAATAAAATACAATATTGAACTGAAATGTATATAATCAGAGACAGAGTGCAAGCATATGTCTCTAACATAATTCTGTATTTTTCGCAAAACAAAAACATGAATGTTTCTATTCTGTCACCATTGTCCTCTGGAGAAAAGAGTCCAAACCTATTCAAGCCAATTACTGATGCCAAATTTAACATTTTAAAAGAACAGTACTTTGTGTTAACTGTTTATCATATGTCTAATAAGTAATAATATTTTTTAAAAAATCAATTTTGGTTGAAGTATTGCGAGAGCATTGTATTGTGAAATCAGTGTTGCGTATCATTGGCTGAATTGTGACATGAGTATTGTGAGACATGTATTGTTTTACTGTATTTTTGATCAATTATATGCAGCATTGGTGAGCAAAAGAGTCTTCTTTCAAAAATATTTAGAAAATCTGACCAACCCCAAACTTTTGAATGGTAAGGAAAGGAAAGGACGTGACGCGTGGCCAAGTATGGTGTCCCATACTCGGAATTTGTGCTCTGCATTTAACCCATCCAAGTGCACACACACAGCAGTGAGTAGTGAACACACACACACACACACACACACCAGGAGCAGTTGGCAGCCAGAACAGAGTCTCAAACCCGCGACCTTCGGGTTACAAGTCCGACTCTTTAACCATTAGGCCACTGACTGCCCACATGTGATGCATGTGTTCTCACCTGCGTGGTGTGTCCAGCTGACTGTCCTCGTCCTCGGGCTCGCTGTCGCACTCACAGTGTGAGCTGCGTTTTCTCTTCCTGCACTCACAGCTGTGTCTGTTCCCAGCGCACTGCCTCTCCACAGCCTCCTCTGGGCCCCGGGGTGACGACTGGAAGTGGCTCCCGAGAGAACCCATAATTATTCAGCCTACAAAAACAGACACTACCCATTTAGTCATGTTACAAAAACACTGACGTGGCATGACAACTGTACAACCAGTGCATCTGTACGGGTGCCACCTGCAGAAAGTCTAAAAATAGTACAACTTAAACACTGTAAGGAGTGAAGTCAGGTGACAGGTGGTGACAGCGATCAATTTCCAGTGCTTACTGTGCATTATCTAAAGTGAATTTGGCTAAATTAGTGTTACTGCACATTCCAATGGTTCCAATTAAGAAGCTTCAGGCTGATGGTTCAGTACAGAAACAGTGATGTTATGTTGTGAAGTGACTGTGGCTTGATGTCGATTTGTCTGTATCACCGTTATATTATCTTAACATTATGAACTTATTATTTTTGCATACGCTGTCGTTTGTTTGTTACAAAACACTAGCAAACATTCTCGCCTCTTGTAAACACTCACCACACGCTTCTGCCTTTCAAAATACTGGACGCACCCTGGAATCTGTTCATCAACCGCTGTGCAAATGCATCATTAGGCGTATAATGAACGCATGTATTAGCTGTTAATAGCAGTACATCGAAATCGGCTGTAAAATGTGTAATAAATGAATCCGCAGTTTGAAACAAAAGCAGACTGGTAAATAACAAACAGAAGGGATGTGTCTCTCCTCACGGCTGTCTGTGATGTTCGCCGGGTGCTGCTGCCACCTAGAGTCGCGGAGGTGCAACAAGCCTTCGGTTTTACTTAAAGCTGCAGTCCGTAACTTTTTTTTGGTTAAAAATGATCCGAAATAAATATTTGAGCAAGTACATAACCAGCCAGTGTTCAAAACTATTGCCTTACTTTAGCCCGATTCACGGCGGTTAGTTTATAATAATGTTTTCTAATTTGAGTGGTACGGGTCGGTTTTCGCGGGAAATTCGAGCATGCTGCCGCGACATTACATCACGTCTGTAAACATAAAGAAGCTGTCCCGGCTACTAGGCTAGCGCATGTGAGGATCCTGCATGTGGCGGATCGTTTATAGCCTTTTCTCACAGCAGCTACAATAATTAAATGTATAATTTCGATGGCGGATTGTGATCCAGAAAGGATTATGTGTTTATGTGAATGAAATTAAATTATATTCCAGTTTTAAATGTGTTTCTGATTACAGATAGCCTGGGATTACACAAGATTTGTATTTTAAAGACAACCAGTTCGAAGGGAGCATAATTTGCTTTTTGGGTTAAAAGAATTTCTTAATATGAAATTCGAATGGTATGACAATTAGAGGTTAGACTGTCCAGAAATTAAAATCTACACGCTAATACACACTATAGGCAATGCTGATGTTGTTAACATTAATAATTTGAGAATAAAGTATAACAATAATAATTTGCATGGTTTGATCTGATATGAGCTAACCGATCTTTAGATTAAATAACCATTGGTATCGCGATTTATTGTAATGCTTTTTTCCTCAGTTGGTCAGAACAAATGTGGCAGACTTGTTACTTACTTGTTCAGATGACAATATATGGTGAAAATGCCTCAGGCTAGAATCTGAAAAGACCTCGGCTAGAATCTGTGATTGCGAAGTACATTAAATAGCCACACATAGCCTACTCCTCAAAACATTAGATTCATCACCCACGCAAGGAAGATAATTCCGCAAACCGCTGCAATTGCAGGTTTTAAAACAGAGATGGCGACAAAGAGAAAAAACTTACGGACTGAAGGCTAAAAATGTTGTTATTTATTTATTTACTTTTCTGGTGTTATGAAAACATTTTCATACCAAAAGTTTTAATGTTGCTTGATGTCCAACAGTTCTGAGTAGTTTATTATTATGAAATTAAACAAATTGTTAAACAAATTTAACCATTAGAGAACATTATTTGTAAATTCTTATTACTATTTAACAATAAATAAAAATAAATAAATAAAAAATACAACTTTAGTCACCTGAAGTTTTGCAATAAATACATAATAATCAATCAAGGAACGTGCACCCTGCAACGTTCTGGGAGCGTTATGGTTGCAAAAAATAAAAAATAAAATAAAACCTAAAAAGAATGTTCCTAGAACGTTATTATTTAGTTCCCAAAAAATAACCAAACGGGAATCAAATATTAACGTTACGGGTAAGTTCTGTGTTTGCTGGGTTAGAGTTATTCTACATTATGTTGTTTTGGTCCTTGCACATTTTGTTTGACTTTGTTTTATTATTTAATGTTCATCTTTAATGGTCTCTCTGCCTTGTATTACAAATTTGCAATAACCATAATACAATAAATATATTAAATTAATTATTTTAATTATTTTAAATTAATTTTTTGTTTTTTTATTTTTGACTTTGAGGACAAAAAAATGCCTGCTCAAATATCTACTCAAACAGTTAATGAAATGATTTATAATTCAATTTCCTGCTTGTGATATTGTGATGAAACAACTAACTTGACTCGTAACTGCAAGTTTAATTTTTTCCCACTATTTTAAGACAAATATGCTGGGACATTAAAGTTTACAGCATAACATAAATGGCTTTGGTATTCAGCTGAGATATTTTCATTCACTCTAAAATAGAAATGAAAAAATGTTGCAAGTTGCAACCCCAAATCAAACCACAGCCACTCGTTGACGACGTGCTCAGGTTTGACCACTAGAGGCGCTGCTCGTTTCCAGCGCGCCTTTGCAGGGCGGGACTTAGCACGGAAGCAGCCAATGAGCGTCCAGAGATCGCCGCAGTCCCCTAGCTGTCTGTGGAGAGCCGACCTTTCAGGGCGCTGTGCGTCTGTTTGACGCTGACACGTACCTCACTCTCACGCGTAGAAGTCTACCGATGTGTCGGTTGTGAAAGTATTTCGGTCGGTTTAAGACTGACAAGCATTTTGTAACCTTTAGCGCACACTGGTTTCAAAACCTGCAACATGGAGCCCGGAGCGAGTGACGCGACAGCAGGTAAATACTGTATTACTACAGTAAAAGTGGCATAAAGAGATTGTATGGATATAATACTACCGAACGACGTTGCATACTTGGACATTAGCTTTAGTATGCATTTGATTATTTAAGGTTTACACATCGTTTGATTAATTAAGTGCAGTAATAGTTGAAATGCAAATAGATGTTATTTGATTTGTTTAGGTTGAGTCGAAAACAATGCACGCATTGTTTTGTAGTATACTATGAAGTGTACTAATAAGAAACTGTATTGCCCAGCGGTTTATGCAGTTTTATTCAGGCAACTTTGTATCAGATGTGTCTCCTAAAATGCATTCAGCTAAGAAAATAGACACAAATGCTAACATAAAAGTTTAAAGTTGTAAAATGTATGTGGATAGTATATCTCAAATGATTTGATCTAAAAGCAACATAATGAGAATTTTATTTTTAATTTGAGTTCTTATTGAAATCTCTGTCATTGAAAACTTTGGTAAACTTGAGCACAATGTGGAAATTCACAATGTGAATTTCTCACTTCCACAGGTACTCCATACGTTGAACCTACCAAAGTGAAGAAAAAGAGCAGTAAGGAGAACAAACAGGAAGCCTTGGCCCTGTTGGAGCAGACCAGCACTATGAAGCGTCTCTTTGGCTTTGAGAAGGAAGACATCTCCTCATGGCATCGTCTGGTGTGTCTCCTCAATCGGCCCACTGACCCGGCCTCATTGGGCATTTTCCGTTTCTTATTCGGTGAGTACTCATTTATGCATAGCATATGAAATTTTACAGCATCCATAATTCTGAATTGTGGTTCGGGTGTTAATGTGTGATGTTTTCTCAGGTATGCTGATGGCACTGGACATCACCCAGGAGCGAGGCCTGAGTCATCTGGACTACAAGTATTTAGATGGGGCACCAGTGTGCCGCTTCCCCCTCTTCAACTTCCTGAAGCCCCTTCCCATGGACTGGATGTTCTTTGTGTATTTTGTGATGTTCCTTGGTGAGTTCCTCAAAAAAAGTCTCTATGAAATACAACATTGACTGCCATTTATTCCTAAATGGCTTTGTTCCTGGAAGTATTTTTGCACATTCATGTTCTCCATAGGCATTTCTAAAAATGTAGTTCAGAGTTTTTATCTTTGAACCAAAAAACATCCAGCTCCTGGAGATAAATAACTTTAATGTATTTTATGATTAAACCAATCATCACAATGCAAATGTCATAAATCAAATCAAAGCAATGATATAACGTAAAAATACTTTTTTATATTTAAAAAATAAGATTATATATTTATATTGTTATTTATGTCATTTTTTAAAAAGTTTTATATTATTACATTTTTTTTATTTAATATTTTATGTAGAGATTCACAATATATTGGCTCTTGGACAATATTAAGAGTTTTTTTGTTTGTTTTGTATTTATTTCTGTCAGATAATATTTAATTGTAAATGCCTCTTTTTATATCTAGATTAGTTTTTTCATCATTAAACACTTATAGTTGATCTTTAAAAAACATAATTTAAAAAAGTAGAACTTAAAAAAAAAAAAATTTCAATAACCCTGTTAAATGTAATCGGTAGCAAAACTCAAAATATGTCAATTTTTTATTCTGTACAATAATGTTTTGATGCATAAATTCACTTATTGCATTTAAAATTATTTATTTTAGTTTAGTGTTTTATTTTTCATTAATTTTGATGAAATTCTATACTATTTTAATTTTGGCCATTTATTAGTTATCAGCCATAACATGGCTTATTAGCATCGGCCAGAATATAGAAAATTAGTAAATTTATTTTTACTTTGAGAACCTAATTGCATCGATCTAAGCATATGTTCTTTGTCTCCTTACTGCGTTCACGAGACTGATCATCTTGTGTGTGTTTTGCAGGGGCTGTTGGTATCATGCTCGGCTGTTTTTATCGCCTTGCCTGTCTTATGTTTATATCCAGCTACTGGTACGTTTTCTTCCTGGACAAAACAACCTGGAACAATCACTCTTATCTGTACGGACTCATCGGCTTCCAGCTCACGCTCATGGACGCCAACAGATACTGGTAAACTTCCTGTAGAGTATTTGGACACTCACACTTAAAGGGTTAGTTCACCCAAAAATGAAAAAAAAAAACAAGTCTCCTCTTGGCTTATATCGAAATCCTCCGACATTCTTCTTTACAAATCCTCGTTTTGTACTTCTAATTCATGACCGTTGTTTTGTTTGATCTCTCCCCTGCGCTTCCGCGTTCGTCACTTCTGAGCGGCGCATGCGCAAATCCGACCTCATACGTCATCCGCCCGGAGCTGCCTCCGTGTACAACAATGAGCGCAAGCTAGATTAAAGTGATTATTACGTTTTGAATATGGATATTTTTCTTACAAAAACGCATCGATTCGCTACAGAAGGCCTTTGTTCACCCCCTGGAGCCGTGTGAGACACTTTTTTTTTTTTTTATGGATGGGCACTTTTTGTTTAACTTCTTTTGGACTGATGCATGCAACACCCGCTGAGTGCCATGAAACTGCTTGAAAGATCAAAGACAATTTTTAATATAACTCCGACTGGATTCATCTGAAAGAAGAAAGTCATATACACCTAGTATGACTTGAGGGTGAGTAATTTATGGGCTAATTTTCATTTTTGGGTGAACTAACCCTTTAAATATATGCAACAAATATATTTGACACCTTGTCATAACGCAGGTCATTAGATGGACTTCGAAACCCCAGGAAGAGGAACGCTCATGTACCGCTCTGGAACTACACTGTGCTGAGAACTCAGG